GACTCCTGCACATTTAACTCAGGAACATTATTTCGCAGAATTAACCCTCTCATTTCCTCTCATTCCTCTTTCGCTCACACATCCTCAGTTGTGTGAAGGAGCTTGTGGAGCGTCCCTTCTCTGAAATCTGCACTCTATCTGCCAGCACTGGGCAGCGCCTCTCCAGCCACACTCATCCATTGATTCAGTGACTTCAGTGCACACTTGTGTACCTTTTCTTAGGTTGTACAAGTGTGTAATAAAAAAAAATCCCAGTCATCTACAGCTCTATACAAAAGTCAGGAAAATTGCTTTAAGCTGTTTATTTTGGCAGTCAATGTGCTTTGCCTGTACAACACTTTATTACACTGGAATAAATACACAAACATAAAAACAGTAAAAAGTAGCAAGAATTTACTTACTTTTCGCTGCATTCCAGCCATCACATGTCTTTGTTAATTTCTGTCAGCTGTACATATGATTTGACATGATAATGCACCACATAATCATGTCAAACAACATCATTTCAAATATTTGATTTCACTTGATTGTATAATGTAGAACAAAGAACCCCAGATCCCTAAACAAAGATGGATACATAGATATAAAAAAAGAACATTTAACTAGTGGAGCAAATGTGTTGCATTCAACTTTGTTTTTGAATTGCTTCATTTAACTGTCAAGTCACAAAGAAATTATGTTGCATGCAACTTACACTCTGTAACTACAGACCTGCCCACCTGTATGCATTTTCACATCAAAGTACGCTGGTATGATTTATCATTCTATGCTAAATCTGTTGATGTCTATGAGTTCAATTGTGTGGATATTATCAGTGTTTACAGAACAGTGAACAACTGAATTTTCACTAGAAAGTGCATTATTTGTCCTGTTCAACTGGATTTAGTCTAGTATGTGAAATATTGAATAAAAATCACTTTTTATATGTGGCACTGCTGGGCTTTTGTATGTTTCAACTTAACAAATCCCTGAAAAACAAAATACTGTGATATTGATTATTTGTCTAAAAGATTTCTTGAAGTATCCTGCCTAAAATTACAGTAATTTACTGGAAGCCATTTCTCCAGTAATTTACAGTTTCTTTCAGCAGCTATACTGTAATATACAATTACAATACTTTGCAGTGTTTAATGTACAGATCATATGTGCTGTAATGTGGACCCACAACTGTTTAAGGACCCTCAGTTTTACCATATTATGTAGTAGAACATGTAAAGATAAAATGAACCACAGCAAAGCTTTCTAATAAGCTTCTGATAGCAAATACTTGAACATTCATTCATACTGTTATACAGTTAAGAGAACAATCACATTCCAAACATCATAGTTCTGTTTATCAACCACACCATAAACTCGGCTCCACATTACAGCAGTTACTGCACTGATTCCTGCACATTAACACTATGAAGACTGATTTCTGAAAGGCAACCTTCTTCTGGAATCCGTCAAACCCATATTCGTCCATCAGACTTCATGGCTGAATTATTCTTACTCCTAGATGTTTCTATTTCACAATAATAGTACTTACAGGTAAGCAGATCTTTCAGGGCAGAATTTTCACAAACTAATTAGTTGCAAAGGTGGCATCCTATGACAGTGCCATGTTTAAAGTCACTGTACAGCCCATCTGACTGCCAGTGTTTCTCTATGGAAAATGCATGGCTATGGGCTTGATTTTATACACCTATTTGCAATGGTTGTGGCTAAAACATGTTGGGGTGTCTACATACTTTTGGCCATACAGTGTATCTGTCCAGGAGAACCTTTTCTAATTTTGTGTTTAACTTTGTCCCTTTCTCATGTAATGATTCTATCTTTAAAAAGCACTTCTGATGTTGATTCTTGTTTTAGCATCATCAAATATTGTAGTTTGGCACCATTTTCATTTTTTACTATCCCATAGTTCTATATGAGCTATAGCCTCCAAAATAGCATTTTACGCATTTAATTAATTTAGTAGGACTCAGCAGACTTCTACACATTCACTCTTCTCATGTTTGCTGAAATAACCTAACAGTGTTGAATTTGTAGGCTGCAGGTGGTATCTTGTGTGTCATATAGTATAAAAAAATTCAAGATGTCTCCCACAAATCAAAACCATCAGAGGGACCTGCAAAGAGAAAAAACAAACAATAGCGTGCTGCCTATTCATATCAGTATTCTTACACTATCACTTTAGAACACAATATCTGTTTATTTTGAATGATGTATTAATATTCAGTTGGGTGACTAGTCATACATTTAAATGTATATGAATGTAAATGAATGTAATGCAGCACATATGTGAATGATTCACCTTCAGTTTGTACACAGTGGATGAGGTCGATCAGCACTAGAAGTAGAGACAGAAACAGAGGATATGATGTATTAATATGAAATTTTAGCTGGCGTCACAGGTAGATTCAATGAGTGAGTGAGTCGTGCAGAGCTGGAGCTGAGCTGGAGCTGAGGATTCGTTGTTGGCAGAGATCAATTTTTCAAGAAAGCTCAAAAGAGGAACACCTGAGCTTTACCTGTAAATGGTCTCTATGCACTTCCACTCTGTTGCCATACTTGCCATAAACAACCACTATTTTTGCTTATACGTGACTCAAAAACATTGTGAAGAGGCTTAATCCTGGTCTATGGACTTCATTTTGTGCCAAAAGTTTAAAATAAAATTAAAAAAAAATCCACAAGCAAAATCTTAAATATCAAAACGTCCAAAATATGTTGAATTAAATTAAACTTTTAAAAATTAGATATATATTTTAATTTTTAAAAAGATTACTTGATTTTTCAATCTTTGCTTTATTTTTTTTCTTATTGCTTTTTTGATTCTGACTTTTGGCACATTTTCACGGGGAACAAGTCTTAGAAAAGGGCGACTAATCGTCAACTGATTTAGAGTGACTGAACACACCCACTGTGCCTTGAACATGGCAGAACATGTCATTATGAGCGACATTTGTCATATTCGTTAATGTAACATGTTCAGGGTCCTGTGTCACCCTGTGTAAAATATATGTCTTGGAAATGTAGGCTAAGTATATTAGATAAACAAAGCTATGCATCTTTTAGGTTTGCAGATGCTAGCGCTAACTAGCCTTGCAGTTTCCACTACAGGACTAACTGGCCTAGCAGTATTGGCTAAACGATTAACCCCTTAAATGGCCAGGGCCCAACGGTTTAATTACATCCTTCAGTACCACTTTAGAATAAGATTGCCCTTGTAAAGCAATTATTCATGATTTAATATTAGTTTGTTAATGGTTATTATTTAGGTCATAAACACTTTAAATACCATTAATAAGCAGTTAAAACACATTAATAAATGTGATGTAGAGGACAAAATAAGATCAGTAAACATCAAAATCCATTAAGCAAACAGGTCACTGTTGCCCATTTTATTTATATGTTTTATTTATGTGTAACTGCTCATTAATGATTTTAAGGTGATTTTATGACCTAATTAATGATCACTAATAAACTAATTCTCAACCATTCATGAACACTTGTTTTAAGCGGTACCCATACTATAACTTAAGAATAGCTTAGCCAGTTTGCATTGAAATCCCTGTAGTTACTGAATAATAAGCCTTAGTATGTAATCGGCTGAGGACTTTAAGGGGCTAACTTGGTGAATTTTGCAGCTGTTTAAATCAGTGTTTCTTAGCCCTGCTTATGACAACCTACATCTCTGCACAGTCAACTATTTCTTAACTTAAAACTTAAAAAAGCTCACTGGTACTTTTACTGGTACTGTCTGAAATCGACCCAATACACCTTTCAATCTCAGAGGCTGCAGTAGTTTATCAGTGACTCTGCAACCACCACACTGACACAGTTTAACTGCAAAAGAAGATCAAAAAACAGCATAACGCTTCACCTAAATGGTGGGGAAAATATCTCAAAGCTTGTCTGACATTTTTCTCTTCAGTAGAGATTCAAACAGCAGCAGCCTCGTTTCACAATAACACTGACCATGGAAACAAAGCTTCGGTACTAGAAGTGAAAGTGAGCTACGCAAATGTGTCTTCAACAGCTGATAAGGTGATCAGTAAATAAATAAAGGAACATCATTAGCACCGGTACAGTAATGTAAATGATATTAGAGAAAACATATGTAAGTATATTTAGGATTCAACATTGCTGATCTTTTCTGTAGTTTGAAGACACAAAAAATCAGACATTTAAAAAGTCTTCATCTCCAGTCTTCAGAGTGCATGTTCTCATCCTACATTACAAGATATCCATGTAGAAAATCATGAGCAAGCAATCTCTCAGAAACCAAATATATAATCTAAACACATATATTTAAGTTTTAAAAATGGGGATACCTCCCAAATCAATTGTTCCTCACAAGGTACAACAAATTAGGAGTGAAACAGTCCACAGTGGCAACACCATTCAAGAACATATTAAATGCCTATACAGGTTCTGAGTAGTAGGTACTAGTACCAAAATTAGGATACTAAACATATTTAATATCATGCCTCATACATTTGGAGTAGATACATCAATAGAATAGAAAGAACAACAATAATTCTGTTGTAATTAATAAAATTAATTAAAAAACAAAAGCAGACAGTACAGAATCACACTTCAGTTATGTTTAGCCTTCAAACAAAAGGACCTATTAGGGAAGAAAGATACTACAGATGATAAAATACCATGACAACAACTACAAGAACAATAGGAAATGAAGAATGTCTTAAATGAATAAACTCTTAGTTTAGATAAAAATTGCAAACTGCTCCAAAGTGATCACATTTATATCATATAGAGATATATTAAACGACATCAACACTACTTTTGCATATTTATGATGAAAGTACAATGTTTGTTACAGTTTAACAATAAAATATTATGCATTTAAAAAGCCAATATCAGCTGTTTATAAAGACAGAATGGAAAAATAAAAATATTAAAAATGATGAGTAAATGTAGACAAGATAAAAAAATATTCATTAAGTATGAACCTGATTTATTGCGAATAAGAGATAAAGGGGTTTAAAGCACACGGTTTAATGATTATAATGTAAAACTGTTCCAGTTGACACTCATCAACATGCTCCAGCTTCTGTCACTGCATATGTTCTGGTCTCCTCATCAGGTTTACCTGTGAATTACACAGTGATGGACATTTCTAATGAGTTATTGGAGTTAATGGGTTATTGGCTAATATAGAAATGTTTGTTCGAGTGTGTTTGTTATAAGTGACCCTCAGGAAGACTGTGAGTTCTTACTTTGAGCTCTGTAGAATTTGACCGCCAGCACAATGGTCACCAGCAGATATGGAGACACTGCCATTAAACTACTGAGCAGACTGAACACTGAGGATGAAGATGCTCCTGAAACACAATGAAATAACTGCAGTGTTGCAACTGTTGGATGCATGGCAAAATAAAATACAAATATAAAATACACATATAATTTTTAATTTAATTAATATACTTTCTGTTGAAATCAGCAAACCTCTGACTGACATCCAGCTCTGTGGAGACTCTCCTTTCTCTGGGTGTTTACAGTGGTAGACACCTTCATCTGACTTTGAGACAGTATGGATGGTCATCTCTCCTGTAGTCTGGAGGAGTGATCCATTCTTATAGAACTCAGCTGTGAGGTTTGAGGGCTTTGGGTCACGATATAAACAGTGTAGAGTCAGAGGATCTCCCTCAGTCACAGGATGAACAGGACTGTCCAGAATCACAGAACCATCTGTAGGAAAGAGTAAGACAATACTGAAAACAAAGTATAGATGACTAATGAAGTAATGATAACTCTGTCACTGACAGTGTGGATGGTGAAATATTTTGTGCACCAAAAGTTTATATCTAACTTCAGTGGCTTCAAAATAGTATTTACTGATTCTGATACAATTAGTTTTCTACCTTTTCATAACTGCTGTATCATTTGAATTTAAATAAGATTTTAGTTTTGAGCATTTCTATCATTTTTCCACTGTTACTGCAGTCCTATTAGTACTAATAATAATATAGACTCACTGGTCACTGTGATGTTGACAGGATTGCTGCTCTCTCCAGATTCAGACTCACACCAGTACACTCCAGTGTGGGATGTGTAGAGGGAGCTGATGCTGCATGTAGATCCTGTAACTGATCCCCAGCCTGATGAACAATCTGACACCTTCTCACTGTGTGTGTATCGTCTCACTCTCCATCCAGTAGAGTCACTCTGTCCCTCACAGCTCAGTGAGAGGGAGTCAGTAATAAAGTGTTGAGTTCTGCTGGGACTGACCATCAGAGAGTCTGGACGACTTGCTCCTGCAAGATGCAAACACACAGCGTTTTCTAGAATGATGCTGAGACTCCCATAGTCAATCATACACAAACTATTCATGATAGAATGAGTTTCTTCATGAATCCACATATTGTTTTTATTTTTTTATTTTTTATATGTGCATGAACTAATCATGCAAAACAAGCATCCCAATAAGATAAACCGCATCTTCTCACCCATGGAGCCATTTTTACTGTGCTGTAGAAATGTACTGCTCTGTAATGTGTTTAGTGTTGTGTTATACGTCATTGTATTCCGTATTGTGTGTGCCTGTACTGTGACTGTATTTGGAACATTCTTTTGCCTATTCTTGTTTATTCCTACATGGTCATGTCTGTCACACCTGTCCCTCGTCCTGTACAGGCTGAGCCTAATCTTGGCATCAGTCCAGCTATAAAGCTGCATCAGCCCATTGTTTTATGGGCTGGCTAGGTGTCTGGTACCTGCGCGCAAACAAATAAACTTCACTTCTCCAGACATCAGGCTGGTTCCCCTGGTACAGTTAGGGTTTGGATTCTTCAGTGCAAAAGGCACCTAAGCACAATGTTTTCCATCCTGGAAACAGCTGTTTTTTTTGCCAGTAAAACACCATAAGTCATAAGAATAAATGCAAATAAATTTAATTAGTTTTGGTTCCTCTCAAGATTTCTTCCTCTTGCTCTTAGGGATTTGTTCCTTGCCATCCCATCGATATGTAATTCATCAACTAAACATGTGGACAGTAGAGGCAACAGTGCTGCTTTGTTTATTCTGTTGGAATGTAGAGGCAATTAAATATATCTACAATATCGTAACTGTCCAAAAATAAATAAGTATCTCAATTTTTTCAGATTTGTATTGTTCTACATCATTTTAACACAGCAGTGTTAGAGCATGTGAAATCATGTCTGCTCAAATGTGTCTATGTAGTTGTGTGAAGTTTGTTTCTGGCCTAAGGAAGATTTAAACCTTACAACACCTCTACTTTCAAGAGTTGTGCCAAATAAAGCAAGACAGAGGTGGGCAATTTTTGTTGTCTATTATTGCGTTTATGATACTTGATTTTAACTACTGATTGTTCCACCTAAGTTGCTGTGGTTTAACATTATTGCCGTTTTCTTTATTGCATTCAGAATACATGCATAAAAGAGACCAGTAATCTGATTCTGGTTCAGAATGTCCTAATTAGGCACCACACTGTTCCACTTCACCAAATGCACATCATAGGACAAGCCTTTGTGGCTCTATCTAATCACACAAGTCGTTATGTTTAGCCTGTAGGTTGGTATTGTGTAGTGGATAACACCTCTGCCTTCTACGCTGTAGACTGGGGTTCAATCCCTGTCTGGGCAAGCACCCTAAACTATACCAGTAAGAGTCCTTGGGCAAGACTCCTAACACTACCTTCGCCTACCTGTGTAAAAATGATCAAATTGTAAGTCGCTTTGGATAAGAGTGTCTGCAAACGCCATGAATGTAAATGTAAGAAAGAAAGGTCAAAAAGAGTATCCAGCTTTTAATCTTAAAAAAGTAACCAGGTTAACTTGGAATTTCGAGTTCACTGAACTTGAAATATTAACAGAAGAAGTGTTTGTGTTTTACATTTCTTAACTTATTATTTGAAGTCCAGTGAGTTACATGTTTCAAGTTAACCCAGTCATTGACTTGTTAAGTTTAAATGCTGCATAAGTTTTATAGTGTTGAGTAAAAATAGCCTCCATTCTTTAGAAAGTAAAATATATTAACATACATTTTCAACCCCATTTTTAATCCTTTAAACTGCCAGGGCCCAAAGTTTTATTACACACTTCTATAACCTAAAAATAGCTCAACCAGTTTGCACTGAAGTCCCTGTTACTTTACTGTAGTTAATGAATAACAAGCCTTAGTATGTAATAAGCCTGAGATTTTAAGGGGTTAATGTGGCTAAACAACAGTAATTCTGTTGTATGCTTCTTTGCTCATCTCTGCCCTTGCCTTTTCATATACACTCTCTAATTTCACTGAGCTTTTGAAATTAAGCAGTTTCTTACATGTCACTGTTTCAGCCAAAAAGCTGAAGCCCAGCTCCTCCACACTTACACAGGTCCTTCATCACCTTAATGCCGAGAAATCCTTTTAGTTTCTGCAGCTCTACTTCTAGAAAACACATTTTATAGCCTTTAAGAGTCTAGTTAAAAGGATTGTTCAGACTGTTTAAATATTTAAGTTGTATTTTGAATGAAGCAGTGTACCTGAAACTTACATTACTATTCAGATCTGCTGACAAGTGCTTTTGCATTCGACACTGTCTAGTATCTTTTGTCAGAAGGTTTTCTACTCACCAGTAATGTTTATCCAGAGAGCATCACTGTAGTGAGTGTAGTAGACTGGGTCTCCTCTCCCAGCTCTGCACCAGTACTGTCCTCCATCAGAGACACTGACTGAGCTGATGGTGTAGGAGTGAGTTTCAGTCTTGATCTCATTCTCAGGGTTCTGTGTGTGTTTGAACCAGTAAAACGTCCATCCAGCAACCTGATCCAGCTTACAGTACAGAACCACTGGATTTCCTATCAGTGCAGCTTCTTTATGGCTTGATGTGAGTTCAGGTTTAGGTTTTTCTGCTGTTGGAGGTGAAGTACACAGTTTTTAGGACCCAAACTAAAAACTCAAATTATCTACTAAAATGTGTCTGTACTGAGAACATTTGCAAAAGTAACATATACATAACATATATACGTATATTTAATAAATTCAAACCAAAATAGCATCTAGGTAAAGACTGAAGAAAAAAAACGAAGAAGAAAAAAAAACTCTAACTCTATCATTAAAATATAAATACAGTGGAGGAAATAAGTATTTGATTCCCCACTGACTTTAAAAGTTTTAATATAAAAAAATAAATGAAACATCTCATAATTTTATGCCAGCTTTATTTTAACAGTGATACATAGAATATCAAAAGAGAAACTGAGAAAATTACATGAAATGAGAAATAAAAATTAATTTGAATTTCATTGAAGGAAATAAGTATTTGACCCCCTAGTAAAACATCATTTAATATTTGGTGGCAAAACCTTTGTTGGCAAGCACAGCAGTCAGACGTTTCTTGTAGTTTTTTATAAGGTTTGCACACACTTCAGGAGTAATTTTGGCCCACTCCTCTCTGCAGATCATCTCCAAATCCTTAAGGTTTTTAGGCATGCATTTGGAAACGCGAGGCTTCAGCTCTCTTGACGGTGGGGATGGTGTTCTTAGGGTCATATTCTGTATTTTTCCTCCTCCAAACACGTCGAGTTGAGTTGAGGCCAAAGAGCTCAATTTTGGTCTCATCTGACCACAGCACCTTCTCCCAGTCTCTCCCAGGCGTTGTAGCCCATTCCAGCCTTGTATAGGTCAACAATTTTGTCCCTGACATCTTTAGACAGCTCTTTAGTCTTGCCCATGGTGGAGATGTTGGAGTGTCACTGAGTCTGTTGGCAGGTGGCCTTTTATACAGGTGACAATTTGGGACAGGTGCCTCACATGCAGGTAATGACTTCACTGAGATTAGGGTGTGTTGGTGGTCTGTGGGAGCCAACATTAGTCATGGTTTTTAGGGGATCAAATACTTATTTCCCTCAATGAAATGCAAATTATTTTTTATCTAAATATTATTTAATTTTCTAGATTTTCTTTTTGATATTCCATCTCTCACTGTTAAAATGAAGCTACCATAAAAATCATAGACTGTTTAATTATTTGTGTATTTGAGTACAAATTTTCAAAATCAGTGGGGGATCAAATACTTATTTCCTCCACTGTAAACACGTTTTAATATTCCCAAAGACAGCATTGATATGCTGTAAAGTCATTTTGTTTTGTGTTGATTAGCTTAACAGAAATGAACAGGGGCTTCTTTACATTAAGGGCCGGTGGGGCCTGGCCCCAACAGATGTTGCTGTGGAGCAGTGGACGACATGATCAATTATTCAGTATAATAATTTTTTCTTATACTTTTCAGTATAACATTTTTTTTCTTCATAACTTGCATTGCTGCGTGTTTATTACATATACCTGTTGTGGAAATGCCAGTAGGCTACCTACTTCTCCTGGCAGTCTTGGTTTGGTGAGCGTGGGTCCAGGCCGTCAGTGTTGTTTAACCAAGTGAGCAGTTAAACACTCTGCGCATGTTCAACACGCTTTAAAAAACCAGCTGTGGGGCACGGTCATGTTGGCCCCATGCTGAGATAAGAATTTACATATGTCCAGACGTTTAGTAAACGTCGTTTACGGTATGGACGTTGCTACGCAGCTAGCCACTGTTCATCAACAGTTGTGGTAGCCACTCCTAATAGCAAAACAATATAATGAGTCAAGTCGAAAATGTAATGAAAGTTCAATTCAGTACCCTGCCTTTAGAGCAGAAATTAGAGATTAAATGTTTGGGACTCACCAGCCAGAGGATTTCAACATCACTCAGTCTGGAACGGACAAAAACTTCAATCCAGAGAGGTTCAAGAGAAATCCATGGCTAACTGTGAGTGTAGCTAAAAATCACTGCCTGCTCTTTTATGCTCTTGCTACGTTATCAATTGAAAAGGAATTGATTTATGGATTGGTGGACTTTATAAAACCTTTTGACAAGTTTGCACAGATGAAAGATCATCGTGTATCTTTTCAAAGAGGTGCCCTTCAATGGTGAGTCATTTTGCTTTATTACAAGGCGTGTTATTCCTAATGCCTGGAAAGCAGTGTGTACCCTGCTCTGAAATGTTGCTTTGGATATGTAGTTACAGACCACAGTGATTGTATACTGCTTAATAACTTTGGATTTGTAATGTGATGCTGTGTAACAAGGTTTTGTGAGATTTAATGTTGTTATCATATCACTCATATTCTTGTCTATACTTCCACCAACTCCTGCACCATGTTACGTTAATTTGTGAATTTGTGATTTCATTGATGGAGTGTGTTTATGTTTAGATCAAGTTTGTGTGCAGTTTCACTGATCAGTCGGCTGCTGCCCCTACAGGTTTTTTTTTGTTGTGCCCCACCAGGCTTTCTGTGCCAGAGATGCCACTGGAAATGAAATAATATTAATGAATCTTCTTTACAGTGAGGGTACAAAACTAGTACACTCACCTTTCAGTGTAAGAGTAACGGTATTGCTGGTTTGTGATGATGTTTGTCTGTAATCGCTCTCTCCTTTACACCAGTACTGATCCTGATCTGCTGCTGATCTGATGATGAAGGTGTTTGTCTGAGACTGATAGACTGCAGTGCTACTGCTGCCTTTATACCACTGATATCTCCAGTTCCTGTAAGAATCTATCTCACACTTCAGAGTGACTGACTCTCCAGTGAACACCGGACTCCATTTGGCTTCTACAGTCAGTGTAGCATTGGGTGAAGAAGCTGTTGGAAGCAGAAATCAAAAATAAAAATCATGTAGAGACTAAGCATCCCACCTAAAACCACTTAAATTGTTCTACCAATGAACGAATTATTGTTTGTCATTAGCAAAATAATAATAATAATAATAATAATAATTACCTTTTCTGTGACAGTGACAGTACATAAGCAGTAAAAAAATCATACCTTCCATTGTGACAGTAACAGTATTGCTGAGTTGTGATGATGAAGGTCTGTTATTTCTCTCTCCTCTACACCAGTACTGATCCTGATCCTGATCTGCTGCTGATGTGATGGTGAAGGTGTTTGTCTGAGACTGATTGACTGCAGCTCTACTGCTGCCTTTATACCACTGATATGTCCAGTTACTGTAAGACTCTATCTCACACTTCAGAGTGACTGACTCTCCAGTGAACACAGGACTCTCTGGTTCTACAGTCAGTGTAGTTCTGGGTGAAGCTGTGAGAACAGAGGAGAGGAGAGAGAATATCTATGTATGTAAGTCCATCAGAAATTTAACATTCCACCTCTCACAGGTCACTTTTTGAGGATTTTTTTTATCGATTTTGTTAAACATAAGAAGACCAACTAAAGGTGGTTTTACACTGTATGATCATGATAATACTGTTGCAAAATAAAAAATGCAAATCATGAAAGAATACAGCCTACAATAATGACAGCTTTTGATAAAGTTCTGGCCACGTTAGAAATTTTGGTACAGAGTTGCGCTTTGTGACCTCTGCTACAACACACATCCAAAACAATCAATAAGGAGCAGCATGGAATGACACCTGTGTGTGTGTGTGTGTGTGTGTGTGAAGATAATAAAGTGTTGGCTCCAAAGAAGAACCAGTGAGTGCCATTTTTCTGCTCAAGGAAAATTCTCTTTTATGGAGTTTTTTTGTTATTTACCAAAAGAAAAAATTATGCGATTTATTATTATTTCAACCTCAGATTTCTTGGCTTTTGCTCATTTTCTGTTAAGAACATATAAAATAACACATTTCAATGACCTCACACTGTTCACCCCTACACATTTATATCACACATGTGGTATTGGGCTAAACCCGCAGAAAATAAAAGTGTGGAGGTGCTGTGTCTCTTCACTCTGTTCTCCTCCTACATGGACTGCTGTTAGTGTGTGTGTGTGTCTGTGTGTATATGTTTGTATATATGTGTGTGTGTAAGGGTGGACAATGTGGACAGGTTGCTGACTGGCTACAGCTGACCACTGAGTGACAAAAACATGAAAACCACACAAGGGTTAAAGAAAACATGAGCAAGATTAAAAGAAAACCAGAGAAAGAATTGATAATCGTGGGAACAAATTAAGAAATCATGACCACGAATAATCCTAACCCTGTTAGTTGGGACGCTGTGCAGATTGCAAATAAAAACAAAATTCAATGATGTGCAAATCATTTAAACCCTATATTTCATTGAAAATAGTACAGAGACAATATATCAAAAGTTAAAACTGAGAAATTTCATTGTTTTTGAAAAATATATGCCCATTTTGAATTTGATTGGGATGATTGGGATGGAGATAACAAAGGCTGGTAAAGTTGTGTAATACTAAAAAAGATGGGGAGGAGTTCATCACTCTGTGAAAGACTGGGTGGGCAAATAGTGCAACAATTCAAGAATAACATTTCTCAACGTAAAATAGCAAAGAACTTTTGCTTTTCATCATCTACGGTACATAATATCATAATTAAAAAACTCAGAGAATCTGGAGAAATCTCTGTATGCAAGGGACAAGGCCAAAAACCAGTATTTGCTGGCCGTGATCTTTGGGCCCTCAGGCGGGGCAGCATTAAAAAAAAAGACATGATTCTGTAGTGGAAATCATTACATGTGCTGATGGTACAGGGGTGCATTAGTGTGCATGGCATGGATGACTTGCACATCTGTGAAGGCAACTTTACTGCTAAACGATATATACATGTTTGGGCAACATATGCTGCCATCCTGATGACACCTTTTTTAGGGAAGGCCTTGTTTATTTCAGCAAGACATTGCCAAACCACATTCTGTATTACAACAGCATTGCTTCGTGCTAAACTGACCTGCCTGAAGTCCAGACCCGTCACCTTTAAAAATGTGGTTTGCATGATTTGCATATCATTGCGTTCTATTTTATTTAGTTATTGCACAGCGTCCCAACTTTTTTGGAAATGGGGTTGTACTTCAAGTAACACAACACTGCAGTAATTTACTGTATCCCTTCCATACAGCAGAGTACTGTGTAAGAATGGTGCATTCTGGGAGAAATAAGTTTGGCTTCTTGTCAAAGAAGTTGAAATGTCAGATTATACAGTAATTAGCTATTATTCGTAAAGCATGTTGGCAACGTGGCCAGTACTTTATGCAGTCTGTGTCTGAGTATTATAGGGATGAAGCTGGAGCTTCCTAGCATTTCTTAAGATTTATTAGTTTTTGTGAATTTTTTAAATGTATTTTCTTATTCACATATTCAATAGCAGTGCATATTGATAGTATTTGGGCCATTCTATGGAAACGTCCATTTTTGCGTCCTTAGCGTTTACACATACATTACACTTGAAAAACATGTTAGTGTAACAATGTTATTTTAATAATTACAGGGCATCAATTTAGCAAAACTGTTTTTTAAATCAATTACATAGTATTATAAGCACCACAGAAGTGCTTCTCCTCACACTCACATGTAAAGGGTAAGTGCCATATATAGTCCACTGTGTGTGTTCAGTTATCAGAAATTTTCCCATTTAGCTTATCATTTTATATGAAGCTTTTAACTGAAGTCACGGGTATGACCTATTTTATTCTTAGGTGATTGTGAATAAACAGAATATGAATGGATTAAATTACATATTTTAGTGCTTATTCCATGATTGACAACATTGATGCTCTGTAGCAGCTATTTTGTAAAATGCATTTTTCATAAAAAATGGTGTTACTTTCTCTGGGGTTACCTTTCTTATGTGTAACACCAATGATGATCAGTAACACCAGTGACTCCTATGCATAAATATAAATGTCGACATTTCTGTAGAATGACCCATTTACTGAGATTAATGAACACTGAAGAGATGATCACACTCACCTGATACAGTCAGTGTAACAGCATCACTGGTGTGTGAGTAGCGTGATGTTCCTCTCTCTGTTCCTCTACAGGTGTATTTTCCTCTGTGAGACTCTGTAACAGAGCTGATTCTGTACTGCTGATAATTACGGACAGGAGTGGATGAATCATCTTTAAACCAGCTGTACTGCCAGTTAGAGACTCCTTCACCCTGTATGTCACATCTGAGAGTGACAGTCTCTCCTCTGAACACCTGATCATCAGGCTGTATGGACACCACAGCTTTTGGTCTCTCTGTAGAAACAAAAAACATTTTCAGAACCATTAATTCTGCAGTAATTGTTTACATTGTCTATGTACAGTATAAAGTGACAGCTCACAGAACACACCTCCACTCTTTTAACTATATCAAGCACAAATAAAGTTTAACACTTACAAGATAGGAATGAAAAAGAAAATGTTCTCAAATATATTTTTTAATAATTTTAATGGATTATGGTACAATTATGTTCCAAGACTAAAGGTACTGAGATGTACCCTTGAGGGTACCACCACACTGAAAAGAGGGGTACTGCCCCAGTTACAGTTTCATACTTTTATTTCTGAGAGTGTATAGTGTCTATTTTAAAACACTGATTTCAGATGAAACACAGGTGTGAATTTAGCATTGTTTTTCTTGTTAAAATACACTCAACAAATACTATTTTATTAAACTTATCATGTCTACACTGGGCCAAAACCAAAATGACAAAATATTAACCTTCTAGTAATCTCAACAACAAATCATTAAACAAATTAGATACAGTAACTTAATTTTGGATAGCTTTTTCCTTTCATTTCTTTAAATCTTGTAGTTTTGTGTGTAAATTTGCAGACAACATTTTACAGAAAAAGTCAGTATTTTTTCATTTATCATTGATGACTCAAACAGTTGAAAAACATTGTGGAACTAGTTTGTGAGACCAAATGTTCTCAATAGGGTTTAAATCTGGCCTCTGATCAGGCCAAAGCCATCAGTAAAAAAACAATATATCTTGGACTTTAAGTGTAAATATTTATTATTACTGAAATATTATACTCTGAATACTGATTATAAAACAATAAACCACCTTTTGAGATAAGTACACCATCTGATTCCACAAAAGGATTAATATACGTGATAAAAACATTATTATACTTCAATACAAATAACACATTTTTAAAGACATAAAACTTTCCACATTTAAAGAGCAAATATCACAGAAAACTGAATGTAGAAATACAGTGAGAGTACGAAAGCAGTGATCTTGCCTTTCACTGTGAGAGTAACAGTATTGCTGCGTTCTGATGATGAGGGTCTGTAATAACTCTCTCCTCTACACCAGTACTGATCCTGATCCAGGCCTGCTGCTGATCTGATGCTGAAGGTGTTTGTCTGAGACTGATAGACTGCAGTTCTACTGCTGCCTTTATACCACTGATATCTCCAGTCACTGTAAGACTCTATCTCACACTTCAGAGTGACTGACTCTCCAGTGAACACAGGACTCCATCTGGGTTCTACAGTCAGTGTAGCTCTGGGTAAAGCTGTGGGAACAGAGGAAAGAGAAGGTTAGGGTTGTATATTTAAAGACATTATATTTTTTAAATTCATATTGATGATTAATATATCTAATGTCAGAAATTGCTTATGTTAGAAAAATAAAATATTACAAATGTATAGTCTCTGAATGCAACACTGATTTGCATTAAAAGTATGTGATTACACCTAATATCTCTACTTCAGAAACTCTACCTAATCTGTTTACACTATGAAGAATCATAATTTTTCAACAGTTGCTCACAAACATACATCCATGCTTTTAACTGGTAATGGAGGCTGATGGCACGAACGGGTAAAAATTGACTCTAAATATTTGATTTAAAAATAAAAATGAATTATAAAATGTTTTAAAATGTTAAAAACATTAATACAAGCCCTGAAACAACAACAACACACAAGGTAAATTCTTCAGTTTTTGGCTCATTGCCTCTGGAAACAAATACTCCCCTGATTTTTTACTCGTCCATTTGCGAGTTACTGGTGTAAATGTATTGTACATAATTTGAGAGTAGACACTCAAATATCACTATGTTGAACATTTCCCCATGTTTACAGAGCCCATATCATGTAAAATTGAATGTTGAAATACAGTTAGAATAAGAAAGCAGTGATCTTACCTCTCACTGCGAGAGTAACAGGATTGCTGGGTTGTGATGATGAGGGTCTGTTATCTCTCTCTCCTCTACACCAGTACTGATCCTGATCTGCTGCTGATCTGATGGTGAAGGTGTTTGTCTGAGACTGACTGACTGCAGTTCTACTGCTGCCTTTATACCACTGATATCTCCAGTTACTGTGAGGCTCTATTTCACACTTCAGAGTGACTGACTCTCCAGTGAACACAGGACTCCATTTGGGTTCTACAGCCAGTGTAGCTCTGGGTAAAGCTGTGGAAACAGAGGAGAGAAAAGGAAAGGTTAGTGGTGTATATTTAAAGATTTTTTTGTAGATCAATCTCTTGAGTATTTTTCAAGTTCATTTTAATGCATAAGACCTCAGAAACAACTTATATTTAAAATATGAATGTTACAAATGTACTATCTATAAATATACAAATATACAGTCTATAAATGCAATACTGGGTAGGATAGTAGGATTATCCCTATTATCTCTTCTCCAGAAACCCTGCCCAATGACAGTTTACCATGACTAGAGAAGATTAAATGTGCAAGGAATTGATTTAATCAAAACAATTAATTCAGATGTAGTTTACATTGTCTGTTTACACTAGGAAGACTGAGAATTTTTCAACAGTTGCTCACAGCACACAAATCCATACTTTGATGGATGCTTTGCAAAAATGCACCATTCTGTCGGATTTCTGGTGTTAAACAAGCTTCTGTTAGCCTAATCTGATGGTAATTGATGTTCATTGATATATGTTACATATTGTAGGGCTAGGAAATCAAATACACTATGTTGAAAATTTCCCACATTTAAAGGGCCTATGACACAAAAACTCATATTGGAAATAAAAGGCTTCAATTTAATGTATAAACATTATAATAGGTTTAAAATCTGTCATTCATTCATGAGTAAGTCCATGTATGAAAACTAAGCTGCAAAAGGAGCAGGTTTTGAATTTACTGCATTTATGATGTCACAAAAACTAACACATTTACATATATCTACCTTATCAGCCTACAGCAGTTTAGCCCCTTTCATTCAGGTTATAAGGTGTGCTTCAACTAGTTTTCCAAATGAATCACAGTCAGAACAGAGCTTATTTACATACATCACTCTTAAAGACAGTAGCAAAAGCCACACTCCATGTCAGATTGGGCAAATTTATTTATACTGCATGTCAGATTATACAATAAAGATTTTCTGGTATGCAAGAAAATGATGACATTCTGCATCGTTTTGCTGAAAAACAGATCCATAGAGCTAGCTCCCTGTAGGTAACTCTATATGTAGACTGAAGGCTGGGCCAAACTTATTATGTAAGCTAATATTCTTAATTTTGTAAGAATGAAAGTTTTTGTGTTAATTTATCACCTCTCCTTCTTCTGTGTACACATACGTGTCATTTCAAGCTGCTCTTTATTTGTTGTTTTTTCTGTATGTTGTAGCAGCAGTCAAACTGTGAGATTTTGCAATAAAATTCTAAAACCTGAAATTTGAACTCACAACCAAAGAATTCTTTCTTGATTTTCAAAATTTGTCTGCATTATTGTGATGAAAATCATATAGTGTCAACCTGCCCTATGACTGCTGTTATCCTGTAAGGAGTATAAAACGTATAAAAATCGTAACTATGTTTAAATGATTTCAGTCTCTCTGTAGAAACAAAATAAAACATTTTCAGAACTGTTAATTCTGCAGTAATTGTTTACATTGTCTATGTACAGTATAAGAAGGGAACATTTTTAATATTATCTCAGATAAATATCCACCATTTAACTCTTAACTAGCACATATAATTTGTGACACATATAAGATACACATGAAAAAGAAAATATTCTAAAAGGGAAATGTTAATTTTGCTGCCTAAATGAACACCTGCAGAGCTTACAAGACCTACAACATTAGTGTCTATTTGAGAACAGATTTCAGATGTACTGCAGGTGTTCATTTTCCTATTAAAATACACTCAGATTAAACAAATACTATTTCATTGAATTCATCTTGTGTAAACGTTTTACTATTACTGAAATTTCACATCCTGAATATTAATTATGAAACACTTAACTACCTTTTGAAGTACAAATACAGTCTTATTCCAAAACAGAATTGATATGCTGTAATAAAAACATTATTATATCTTGGTGCTAACAACACATTTTTGAAGACATGATTCACATTGCATGAAATACAGTGACAGCATGAAAGCAGTAATGTTACCTTTCACTGTGACAGTAACAGGATTGCTGAGTTGTGATGATGAGGGTCTGTAATATCTCTCTCCTCTACACCAGTACTGATCCTGATCTGCTGCTGATCTGATGGTGAAGGTGTTTGTCTGAGACTGAGAGACTGCAGTTCTACTGCTGCCTTTATACCACTGATATCTCCAGTTACTGTAAGACTCTATCTCACACTTCAGAGTGACTGACTCTCCAGTGAACACAGGACTCCATTTGGGTTCTACAGTCAGTGTAGCTCTGGGTGAAGCTGTGAGAACAGAGGAGAGGAGAGAGAATAGCTCATTTTGTTTATTAGTCCATCAGAGATTTAATGTGCCACCTTTTAGAGGTCACCTTTGAAGATTTTTTGTTTTGTTAAACATGACATGATCAGTCAGAAACTGACAGATCTAAAGGCAGGTTTACACTGTTTGATTACGATAAGGCTGTTGAAGACAAAAACTGCAAATCGTGGAAAATGATTTGATTATTTGAGTTAAATTCAGTGGTCTTTAAATGTTTGTGACACGCTTCATGGCAGCTCATTTACAGACCAAAGAAAGCTTATGATGAAGTTCTGGCAGTTTTTGAAATGTTGGTCCAAAATGACGCAATGTGACCTTTGCTGCAACAAACATCTAAAACCGTATGTGTGTGTGTGTGTGTGTGTGTGTGTGTGTGTGTGTGTGTGTGTGTGATAGGGAGAGGAACAGAGGGTGCAGATGATAAATTAAAGCAAAGCTTTATTACTCACACGTTCTATGTTAGCATACATATGTTAACGTGGTCCATCATTTAGTTAACGTATAGAGTGACCTTTCTTAAAAGGACTAAGCAGCTACCATGTAAACAACAGAAGAATGAGCATATTTCCTTTAAGCTTTTGGAATATAAACATTCCATGTTTCCCACTTCACCAGCCATGAACAGCTCCAAACTCTCCCTCTTCCTTTTGTGGGTGCCAGTAAAAAAATAAGGTGCAGAATGTTGTTATTGTCTTGCACTGTAGATCTAGCAGCAGAAATTCTTTATTGTATAATCTAAGCTGCAGAATAACTGAAGTTGCACAGTCTGGCACAGAATTTAGCCAATGTTTTATTTGCAGCACAAGATACTGCAAATAAAATTTTGGCCAAACTCCATGTTAAATTGTGCAAATTCAGTTACAGGGCAACACAGGACTCTCTGGTTCTACAGTCAGTGTAGGTTTGGGTAGATTTACAGAAAGAAGAGAACAGCAGTGCAGATTCAGAGTCAGTTTCAATAATGAAAACACAAACTAAACATCTGGTCTCATCTGTATTGCTATGATACTGAGATTAATGAACACTGAAGAGATGATCACACTCACCTGATACAGTCAGTGTAACAGCTTCACTGGTGTGTGAGTAGCGTGATGTTCTTCTCTCTGTTCCTCTACAGGTGTATTTTCCACTGTGAGACTCTGTAACAGAGCTGATTCTGTACTGCTGTTCATTACTGACAGCTCTGTATGAATCATCTTTAAACCAGCTGTGCTGCCAGTCAGAGACTCCTTCTCCCTGTATGTCACATCTGAGAGAGACAGTCTCTCCTCTGAACACCTGATCATCAGGCTGTATGGACACCACAGCTTTTGGTCTCTCTGTGGAAAGATTAAAAAAACATTTTCAGAACTGTTAATACTGCAGTAATTGTTTACATTGTCTAAGTGCAGTATAAAGAGAAACCTCACAGAGATAACTCACAGTATACACCTCTACTCTTTAACTGTTACTAGCACAAATAATGTTTACAACTCATACGATAAGAATGAGAGGGTTCCGGTTACGTCACCAGCATAATGGCAGCTTAAGAAAGAGTCTCTCGACTAAAACTTCGAATTATTATCAAGACGTGATCAGAATTACTACATGGAAGACGGGGCAGGTATGGAGACTAGGTTTAAGGGCAAAAACGATCCAACAACCAGAAAAACGTGACGACGAATCTGTCTCTTGTGGTAGCGCTTCGTCAGCCACCGCCACTAATCATGATGGTGGACGAGTGAAGGAAACAGCAGAAGCATCTGGAGTTGATTCTAAGAGAAATACGGGACTTTCGACAAGACTGTAAGGGTCAGATGGATGACGCAGAAGTGCGAATTGTACAGAACGAAGAAAGAATATAATTAAGGCATGGAAGAGGTTCTGGCTGAGATACTAAAACTTAAGATACAGCTTCAAGGTAGCCTAATGGACCAGTAGAGTCATTCAAGGTGAGAATCTCGAAATACCGCCCTCCACGGACATTCAGAGTGAGCGCATCATGCCTTGGGGCCGCAACCCCCCACTGGAGCACCGCCAAGATCGCTGGTCGTCCGATTTCTTAGCTACAGAACAAAGGAAGAAGTCTTGAAACTGGCATGGCAAAGGAGAGGCTTTGTGTGGAATAACAGCAAAATAAGCCTGGATCACGATTATGCGCCTGGAATCCTCATCAAACGAAGATAATACGCCGAAGCACGACGAGCATTAAAAGACAACAACATAAAGCTCCGGACTCTGTATCCAGCAAAGCTAATAGTTTTATGACGAAGGGACGGTAATCTGTGAGTCAGTAGAGGAGGCAACACGAGACATGGCGGTCTCGGGGCTACACAGTGGTCTCTCAGCCTGACAAGATTCTGGATCAGATATGGCGACTGACATGGCAACCAATAGGCTACAGGCAAGTGTCTTCAAGCGTTAGGATGGCCGGAATTGGATGACCTTTAAGCCAGGTACTAACATTAAACTTAAGAGAAAGACAGAAAGAAAAAAGAAAACAAAAAAGGTCTGGTTTTGAATTGAACGATTGAGTGGAGTTTGTATCAGTTGGACTAGTGGTCATAATGTGAGTTTCTGTTATTTCTTGTAATTTACCAAACTTATGACGCACAGAGGAGGAAACTGGATTTAATGGATAATGTAATGGATAAAGTAATTTAGTTGGGATTGATATGTGATGCCATTAAAGGCAAGTAATGGAGGGCCCTCTTAAAAGGACAAAAGATGGAGGCTTTCCCTCCAGAGGTGTTGACTTGTTTAAGGTCTGCATTGAGACCTTGTTCTGGGAACCACCAAGAACATTTCCAGTTGTTTCTATTTTTTGAACTGTTCTACTCGTATCTTGTTGATTTACAACTGTTCTTATTTTTAAGGGGATGTGTTTGTTATGCCTTAAAGAGAAGATATGGAGAGGAGGGTTTATTTACTTGTTTTTCTCTGTGTAAAGAGGAATGCAGATGGATTCTGCTATAAAAATAATTTCTTTTAAAAGAAGTGAATGGAACTTCTACAAAAGGCTGTTTGATTTGATGGCCAATCCCCAGGGTGTGCTGATTTGTGGGGGTGACCTGATTATTCGTCTGAACCCACATTTAGATTCCTCTGGATTAAGTAAACAACAAAATTCAGTTTGCAAGAGAATCAATATGGTGATGAAAGAATTAGGAATAATAGCTATCTGGAGGCAGATGTATCTATCTAGTAGGGATTATACACATTATTCTCCACCACACTTAATCTAGAATAGATTATTTTTTTTTTATTTTTAGCTGAGATAAAGTAAGGGATTGTGATATTGGTGTAATAGACCTATTTGATTATGCTCTCATTAATTTATCCATAATTTTGAATAGGAAACGTAGGTCAACATTATGGAAGTTGAATTCAAATATTTTTAATAATCTTCAGATTGTACAGAATTTGAAAACTGATATTAGAGAATATCTGGAACAAAATGATAATGGGGATATTTCACCATCTATTTCATGGGATGCTATAAAGGCCGTCATGAGGGGAAAAATAAGATTAAATAAGAAACTAAGTGCTCAGAAATGAGAACAAATGCAGGCACAACTAAAAAGCTTACAGGCAATTAATTATAATACATCCCATGCAAACAGGAAATAAATAGATTAAAGCATGAAATTAATGATAATTACAATTTGGAAATACAACAGAAACATATGTACTTGAAACAAAGAAATTATGAAGCTGGAGGAAGATCAGCAAAGCTCTTAGCCTACAGACTGCGAAAACAACAAGCGGATAGTACTATTCTTAGATTTAGAAGCCCGAAAACTAATGTGATGGAATCTAAAATAGAGAAAATACAAGATACAAGAAATTTTGAGGTTTATAATAAAGATCTGTACTCTCAACCACATGTGCCAAATGATCAACAAATTGACAAGTTTCTAGACTCCCTGGAATTACCTGTAGTAACAGATTCACAAATTGAAAGACTTATACAGAAGATCACAGCTGAGGAATTGAATTTAGCCATTTCTAGATTAAAACCAGGAAAATCCACAGGATGGATATACCTCTGAGTGGTATATTTAAAGAACAATTAGTCCCAGTCATGTTGTTGGCCATGAACTGGGTAAGAGAAACAGGTGAGATCCCACCCTCATGGAGGGAAGCAATCATTTCAGTTATACCCAAAGAGGGAAAGGATAGTCTAGATTGTGGGAATTATAGGCCGGTCAGCGTTCTCAATTTAGATTATAAATTATTCACTTCAATTTTAGCACAAAGAATTGAGACGTTTTTGCCAAACCTAATTAATTTAGACCAGACAGGATTTATACAACAGAAAAACACAGGACAACATAAGGAGAACCCTACATATAATGAGATACATTAACTGAGAAGGCATTCAGTTCGGTTAGGGGGTCCTTTTTAGTTCTAAAGAAGTTTGGCTTCCATCCTGCATTCATTAAAATAATTCAAACAATATACATTAAGCCTAGTGCAAGAATTAAAATAAATGGAGACCTCTCAAGCTCATTTGTGTTAGAACGAGGAACTAGACAAGGGTGTCCAATTTCACCTTTGTTATTCTCTTTATTTATTGAACCTTTAAGTCAGGTAACCAGAAAGTCCAGAGAAATTAAAGGAATTGAGGTATTTGGTATCGAACAAAAACTTGCATTATTTGCAGATGATGTTTTAGTGTACCTAGGGCAGCCCACTCAGTCATTCCTGGCACTGATGAATACATTAGAAGAGTATGGGGCTCTTTCAGGATATAAACTTAATATACAAAAGACTCAAGTGATTACATTAAATTACGTCCCTGCTAAAAGTCTCAGGGATGCATATAAAGTCAATTGGCAATCAATTAAAATGAAGTCTTTAGGAGTGTTTTTACCAAAAGAATTGTCAGATTTGTTTCAAGTAAACTATGGTCCTTAAATGTTAAAATAAAGACAGATATGTAAAGATGGAACCTTATCCCATGCCTCACTTTAATCAAGAGGGTAGAAACAATCAAAATGAATGTACTACCTCAATTACTTTATCTTTTTCAAAGTCTACCAGTAGAGATATCAGATCAGCAATTTAGAGAATGGGACACATGGATTTCCCGGTTTATTTGGCAGGGACATAAACCTAGAATTAAGTATATGACACTACAGCAGGGAAAAGAAAAAGGAGGAATCTCCCTCCCCTGTTTGTGATTATTTTTATGCTTCTCAATTAAGGCCTGTAATATGTTGGAGTAGTGAGCACTATATAGCAAAATGAAAGGAAATTGAAAATGCATTGGCAGTGAGTTTCCCATAGCAAGCCATGATAGTTCACAGAGCATTAATGAAACAGCTTTTGGACAGGCAGAATACCTGGATCAATCTAACAATGAACATTTGGGAAAGGATAAATACTTTAAATGGGATACAAGATTTAATAAGATGGTTGAAATGGTGTGCCTATGATAGTTTCCCCCTAATAAAGAAGACAAAGGCTTTAAAGTATGGGCAGTATTTCAGTCTTTAAAAGAAAAATATGGACTGGAACAGAAAGATTTATTATAGATATCTTCAAGTGCAATGTTACTTCAGTGAATCTTTCAAATATGTAAATCCACAAGCTATAGAGACAGGACTCTCTCTACAGGATTATCTCTATCTCTTTGTAAGAAAAATAATACATTTTATATTAAGGAAAAGTGGGAGAAGGAGGGGAACATATCACTGTCAGAGGATAATTGGGAAAAAATATGTCAACATAAGTGGGCAACAAGAAGTTCCTTAACTTGAGAACTTTGCTAGAAAAATGCCCCTCGATTCTTTGTTACACCTGTGCAGAAATGACACCAAGGTTCAGGGATCCAACTGCTGGAGAATGTGTAATTCAGCCAATGCAAATCATTTCCATATCTTTTGGGAATGTATGGTTCTGTCTGGGTATTGGAAAGCTATCCATCAGGCTCTCTGTACTATATTTCAGATGAATATACACTTTGACTTCGGTTTTCTTTATCTGGGAAATCATTCGTTGGACTTAGGTCAAAATGATAAGAAATTGTTGAAGGCCTGAAATTTATATTATGGAAAAGCTTACTTATTGCTTACGAATTAAGTTTGGCAAATTCTGTCAGATTTGGTCTAAGTGGCTAGTACATATAAGACCCTGGTGCCCAGAACTTACATAGGTTTTTTATGACCTATCGTTTTATTTCCTCTCCTCTCAATTAAAGAACACACTTCCCCTTTTTTAAAATGTAAATAGTTTTTAAGGAGCTAATTTGAAGGGAAAGTCAGAAATTTAAAATGTAACCTTTTTTTTCTTCTCCTCTCCCTCTATAATGATTATTGATATTGATGGTATTATCAAATATGTTTATCAAAAGAAAAGCAAAAATTACAAAAAGAGGATTGTGTGTATGTATGTATTTATGTGTATATTTGTGTATATATGTATATAAAAGCAGACAAACATTGAAAGTAAAGCAACTGAGTAGGATCATAATGGAACTGTCCTTAGATAGTCATAATCATGGTGTGAATTGAAGTACTGTTACAGTTGTTTGATATAATGTGAATTTTGTATTTTCTTCTATGTTCTTTTCAAAAGACTTTCCCCAATAAAAAGAACATTACCAAAAAAGATAAGAACGAGAAACAAAATGTTCTTCAATTAAATTGGTCGTTTGCTGCATAAATAAACACCTGCAGTGCACATGAGATCTACTACACTGGCATTTCAGGCTCCTGTAGTGTCTACTAGAGAGCACTGAGTATAGTTGTACTGCAGGTGTTCCTTTTTCATTGGTGTTCTTATCAAAGTACATTCAGATTAAACAAATACTATTTTATTAAATTCATCATATCTGTACATTTTGCTATTACTTAAATATTACATGCTGAATACTGATTATAAAACACTAAACCACCTTTTGAGGCAAGAGCACAGTCTTATTCCACAACAGGATTGATATACTGTAATAAAAACATTATTATTTGTTAGTACTAATTACTCATTTTTGAAGCTATTAAATGATAAACATTACAGAAAATGCAGTGAGGACACAAAAGTATTGATCTTACCTTTCACTGTGAGAGTAACAGGATTGCTGGGTTGTGATGATGAGGGTCTGTTATCTCTCTGTCCTTTACACCAGTACTGACCCTGATCCTGATCTGCTGCTGATCTGATGGTGAAGGTGTTTGTCTGAGACTGATAGACTGCAGTTCTACTGCTGCCTTTATACCACTGATATCTCCAGTTACTGTAAGACTCTATCTCACACTTCAGAGTGACTGACTCTCCAGTGAACACAGGACTCCATTTGGGTTCTACAGTCAGTGTAGCTCTGGGTAAAGCTGTGAGAACAGAGGAGAGGAGCAAAAAGATTAGTGTTGTGTATTTAAAGTTTTTTTTTGTTTGTTTTAAATAAATTTCTTGGATTTTTAAAATTCATATTATGATTAATGTGTCTAATATGCCAGATATCACTTATGTTAGCAATATAAATAACTTTATAGTTTTTAATTATAATTACCCCTAATACCTCTACTTCAAAGACGCTTTCCAATGATGGTTTAACATGACTGGAGAAGGTTAAATGTGAGTACAGTATATCATATATTGTCAGCGCAGGCACTGAAATATCACTGTGATGAATATTTCCCATGTTTAAAGGGCCCATATAACAGAAAACTGAATGTCCCTCATGTTGCAAATAAAATATGTTGATGTAGTAGGTAAAAAATTATTACAGTTTCAAAGCGTGTTATTCACTCCTGAGTCCACACAGTCCATATATGAAAACTAAGCTGTAAAAGAAGAATTTTTGAATGTATTGTTTTTTAGCCCCACCCATTCATGTTAAAAGGAGTGCTTCAACTAGTTTTCTGAAAGAACCACAGCCAATCAGAACAGAACTCATTTATGTATATCAGACACAGCAACAAAAGCAGCCAGCATAATTCTAAGGGAAAGAGAGCAGTTGGAAAATAGTCATGTAAATCTGTTAATGTTTTTATTAAATAAACATACATAAACTTTAAAATAAGATTGGGTAACAGGGAGGAACAGGTCACTGCTGTCCTGACAGTATCTAATTAATGAACATGTGTGTTATACAGTTTAACATAAAACTAAGAAGGGAGAAAAATAGTAATAACATTAGTTTTATCTACTTTCATAAAATTTTGTGTAGAATGGAATTAAAACTGGTTGCTAGAACAATATTGTTTTATTATTATTATTATTATTATTATTATTATTATTATTATTTTGCATTTTCTGTGATGTTAATCTACATAAAATCCTCAAGTTACATAGATAAAACTTTAGCAACAAAAAAATAAATAAAAAATCTTACTCTAAAATCAGAACTGAAACAGCTGATATATTGAAACATTAGTATATGCTGGTTCTAATTTCTGAATCAGTATGGAGAAATTTAATAATCTGAAAAATTACATTCAATTAATTAAATGCAGCTCACACTGTAAGGAACACTTCACACTGCAGTGATCTAATGTGTTCCTTACATACATTAGGCTTCTGGGAGAAAACTCATCTTGTCAAAGAAGTTAAAATGTTGAATTTTAATTTAATTGAATTTTAATTTAATTAGTAATTGACTTGTTTGCAAAGCATGTTGGGAAAGTGGCCAGTGCTTTGTGCAGCCTGTCTCTGAGTATTATACTGATGAAGTTGGAGCTTCCCAGCAGTTTTATTTTTTCCTTAAGTTTTATTAGTTTTTGTTAATTTATTTTATATAGTTTTATTCATGCATTCACAGCCATGTATATTCATAGTATTTACTGAGGTTAATGATCTCTGAAGAGATGATCTCACTCACCTGATACAGTCAGTGTAACAGCATCACTGGTATGTGAGTAGCGTGATGTTCCTCTCTCTGTTCCTCTACAGGTGTATTTTCCACTGTGAGACTCTGTAACAGAGCTGATTCTGTACTGCTGATCTTTACTGACAGGAGTGGATGAAGCATCTTTAAACCAGCTGTACTGCCAGTTAGAGACTCCTTCTCCCTGTATGTCACATCTGAGAGTGACAGTCTCTCCTCTGAACACCTGATCATCAGGCTGTATGGACACCACAGCTTTTGGTCTCTCTGTGGAAACAAAATAAAACATTTTCAGAACCATTAATTCTGCAGTAATTGTTTACATTATCTATGTGGACTATAAATCATGATTATTTTTCAGTAGTAGCTCACATAATGCACCTCTACACTTTGATTACTTAAAGATTACATGCAGAATACTTATATTATAAAATACAATACCATTTCCAAAAAAGTTAGGACGCTGTATAAAATGTAAATAAAAACAGAATGCAACGATGTTCAGGTCATTTAAACCCTATATTTAATTTAAATTAATACAAAGACAACACATCAAATGGTGAAACTGAGAAATGTTATTGTTTTTTGAAAAATATATGCCTTTTTTGAATTTGATGCCAGCATGTTCCAAAAAAAAGGCTTTAAAAATAGAAAAAATAAAATGATCATCTTATCCCCAAACCAAGGTTGATATATAGTATTAAAATAATGATACATGAACTAATGAACTAATGAACTAATAAACTATGAGAACTAATTTTGTAATCAGTACTGATCTATTTTGCTAAACTGTTGTGTGACACTTGATGATGTGTGTTCTGATCAATAACATCACGGTCTGCAACCAAATCACACAAACTAAAGTGTGGTCCTTCACCTTTTTCATTTGATCAATGAGTAAAATAGAGATGGGGCATTTCAGTACTGAAATATTGATACTTCTAATCCTGATGTTTCTTTTTGAGAATCTGTTCTTACATGACAAAATGGATACTAGGTGTTTTCTTTAAGCAGTAAACTGAATATACATCAGTATTATTGAAATGATGGTGGGAAAAAAATAGCAAATAAATGTGTAGGATGGGAACTTTTCTTTCTGCCTTCTCCCTCTGCCTTTCTCACTCACAGGGCACAGACAGCCATATGAGATGCAGTGAAAGCTCATTTGGCGTTATTTACCTAAATAGTTTATTTAATACTAAGGCTTTCAAATGTACCTTTTAATGTCCCCCCTTTTACTGGTTTTCATTCCTAAATAACAAAGAATTCTCTCAGTATTCAGTTATTGTTTTGTATTGGATTAAAAAGAAATTGTGGCATCATGCATCCCTTGAGTAAAACTAGCTAGAGCTCCCCCTGCTGGATATTTACAGACATAAGCTTCCTGTGCATTCTTCACAAACTGTTGTAATCAAATGCAGCTCCGTTTGGGCTTTCTTACACACATGACAGTCAAAGCAGTATTTAGTGTTGATATAAAAACTAAACCAAAACTATTTCGTTTTTAAGGAATGATTAACACTGTTCTCATACATGAGTCGCATTTCATCTTTACATTCAGAATCATTCAGAATCTCTTTGTATGTGCATTAAATTAATGTAAATGAACTCTTATAATCAATCACAATTACACCAATGACATCATGTACGCATGATAGCACTGCTGGCTGTGAAGAGTCTACCACCAGGACTAATAAATGGAGGTAAAGAATACAGTAGATCATTGCAGTGTTTTTGCTGTAAATTAACATCAGTTTATTACAGTAAATAATAAATAAATGCTTGATTAATTACTTAATTTACACTAAAACTTTACATTTAGATTTACTAATTACTTAAATTAATTAACACCCTCTTTATTATAATTAATTCATTGATGAATAATAATAAAGATGTGTACATTAGTTTAGATTAATCTGACTGAATAAAATCTAACAGGCTATAATGAATAGGTTACAATGCAGCTGCTGTAGGTAAATGGGTGATAGAAACAGACTGGGCACAGTGTGGCATCAAGTAGCATCAAAGTGGCATCAAAAACATACTAGAACTGGCAGGTTGTGAAGAAGGTGGATCATCATACACTGTATGGCCAAAAGTATGTGGACACTGGTTCTAATTATTTATTTAAGGTGTTTCAGTCCCTGCTAACAGTATGTCTCTATAAACACACAAACACAAGAATTGTGTATCAGGAACTTCATGATGAGTTTCCAAGCAGCTACACACAAGCCTAAAAAGGCACAATACCAGGCTTCAGCTGATGTGATGTAAAGCACACTACCTCTGGGCAGTGGATAAAGTTCTCTGGAGTGATAAATTACACTTGACTATCTGAAAGTCTGACTGAGTCTGGGTTTGGCAGGTCCCAGGAAAAAACTACCTGTTGAATGCGTAGTGCCAAGAGCAAAGTTTGGCAGAGGAGGGATAATGGTCTGGGGCTGTTTTTCAGGGTTTGGGCCTCTTATAGTACCAGTGAAGGGTGATGTTAATGCTACAGCATACAAAGACATTTAAGACAATAACATGCTTTCAACTTTGTGGCAGCAGGTTGGGGAAGACCCTTTCCTGTTCCAGCATGACTGTGCACTTGTGAACAAAGTGAGCTCCATAAAGACATGGTTTGATGAGCTTAGAGTGGAGGAACCCCAGTGGCCTGACCTCAACCCCACTGAACACCTTTGGGATTAATTGGAACGTCGATTGTAAGCCAGGCCCTCTCATTGAACATCAGTGTCTGATCTCACAAATGTTCACATCGTGCAAAGTGTAGCTATCATCCTGTGACATTTCTTATACTTTAAAAGATATTTTTCAATTATAAATATAAAACATACATTTTTATGCATCCATGATGGGAAATGCACAGAAGATTAGCAGCTGTGCCTCCCTGGTATTAATTTACACATGCAACTGCCATCCTCAGGCATAATTTGCAGTCTTGGTAAATTACACTGTGCTAAATTCATCTGTTTGCATTGACACTGCACTATATTTTGCATGCTTAGAAAGAAATGCCCCAAAGTACATGAATGCATGCACGATAAACATGATGAAGATAAACAAACTCACCTGACAAAGAGAGTTTAACAGGATCACTGGATCTTGTGGTTCCCTTGCAGGTAAATTCTGTGCTGTAATCTGCAGTCATCTGAAACGTGTATTCACTTCGTTCTTCAGAGCGATGAACTTCTTTCCCATTGTTAAACCAGCTATAAGTCCACGTACGACCTTCTCCCCCCGGGATTTCACATTTTAGAGTGACAGTCTCTCCTATATTTATTTCTTTTCGACCTGGAGGGTCTTTAATTATAACTGCTGGCTTATCTGTGACAACAACAAACATTTATCCTTAAAGGAAAGACATCAGATCTACACTGATCAACTAAACATCATAGAAACTTTGATAAGCTTAATTTACATATTATACTGATCTCAAACATGCAATTTTACATGTGAGCCAAATTTCACAGCCATCTATTAAAACAAAGATTTAAATTCTGAATGTATATGAATTTAAATTGAAAATGTATGTGAATACATGTGAGTGATTCACCTTGAGTTTGTCCACTGTGGATGAGGACAATCAGCACTAAAGGAGGGAAACAGAGGATATGATGCATTAATATGAAATATTAACAGGTAGAATTAATGAGTTTGAATGGGTCGAATGGAGCTGGAGATTCAGTTCAACTTAAAGTCAGTCCTACACACACAGTCCTCATATCTTTTCCTCCCACCTAACTTTATTTTCCACTACTGTATGAAAATAATATAAAAATATATATATATCACACACACACACACACACACACACACACACACACTCTGGCTAACACTTAGCAGGTTACATCTGCTTTGACCAGCAGGAGGCAGCTGATTTTTTCCCCCCTTACCCTTCGGTGACCAGTTCATAAAAACACCACTAGGGGGAGCTAAGAGGCTAAATAGTATGTATATTGCATGAAACAAAAACATTCCTAAACCTCAACACTCATGACATTAAAAATGTCATCTATGAATATGAATATGCATAATTATGCTAATTTTAAAACCCTCTTCCTGTCCTATTTCTAAACCCTGCCCCTCACACCAGTTTCATGCATACTATCTCTATCTATGAACAGACTGAAATGAAGGCAGACCAGCAGCAATAATAAGATCCCACTATAACTTTCATAATTAGAAGGATTCTGTCTTCCGGTCACTCTTGCACCAGTCATTCAATTTCACTCGCTCAGATTTTGAGTCTTTATCCTCTAAACGTGCCTCAGTGAGCTGGAATTGCTGGTGGTTTAGCTTTAACATTGTCCTCTGGTATTACAAGGATATAAATTAAAAAATAGCTTAAGCTAACAGCTCCACACACAAAAACACATATTTATTTGCTCAGATTTGAGTCTTTATTTTCTAAACTTGTGGCAGTGAGGTTTTAATGAGCTGTTATGAACCTGTGCTGTGGTGAAACCACTGCATGCTAAGCTACTGTATGTTGGTGCTTGTGGCTCATACCACTTTGTGGCTTTTGTCAGGGCCTGTCACATCTTCTCACCATATTTGGTATATGGGGCTCTGATAGGTTCAAGCACATCCATACAAATCTAAGCTGCTGTGTAGTGCCCCACAAACCATCAGAAGAACTAAGAATAAAAAATGTGAACTGTGAACTGTCCTATAGTAACACAACTGATAGAAATATCAGTCGACATAACCATAATAAGCCACTCAAGAACTCTTATCTATTTAAAAAACACATTTTGTGGGTGTAGAGGGTCTTTGTATCGTCATGTAGATCTCAAAGCAAAAGCTTTTCATTCTTTGTTGTTTCACACATTACAGTTTCTGTCACCCTGTGATTGTAAACTTATTTTATGTACTAAAAAGAGTGATTCAAATGTTTATGATTTCCACATGAATTAAATATATTACATCAATATATTTATTGGTAAAAGTGAGTCAACATTAATACAAATTGGTGTTGATGTAATATATATATTTTTAAAATCCGGACACATTTGAAAAAAGTGAATTAAGTAAATGCATTGCATCGGCTTGAGAGTGTCTACAACACAACAGCAGTACTGCAGTACTGACACTAATACATGATTAGAGTCTGATATATACTCTGTGATATGATCTGAATTAAAATGTACAATAAAACACATAAGCGACAGAGTATTGAAAATATAGTCAAAGACATAAATCAAGTGGAACATGGATTCACTAAAAGATGCCTTCATTCTGCAGTTAATTCTTAGAATTTTCATCAAAATACCTCATAACAATGCAGACTGGATGCTATGCTAATAATTTACTGTAATAAACATGTCAAAGGACCCCCAGCTGAAACTGAAGCTCTGTGCACTCTGACTTCAGCATGAAAGAAAAGCTTTTAAACTATCTGAACTACATTCAGTTACTGAATCACACAGAAGCTGATCACTCAGAACCCTCAGACTGAATATTAACAACTTCATACAGCAGCTCTCACTCTAATGAAGACATAAGAGAACATTTACTCACAGAGTATTACAGAGAGAGACCTGAACTCCATACTGTCCCCGTAATGACTGACTGACTGAACAATGCTCTGTGTTCAACACTCATCACTTCCTGAGAGAGAGAAGAAATTTGCATATTAAATATGTAAATGTACACTAAATACTTTAAAACATGTTTCAAATATTCCTCTGACCCTCCAAGTTAAAAGTTAAGTGCAATGGAAATGACACCCCATCAGTGATTGTACCAGTTTAACTGATTTTAGACACAGCTGTAAAGGGATAAACCTCTTCACTTCAAATTAGCCAATGAAAGAAACTTGATTGACCAATTAGAGAGTTTGCAATGAAACTGTTGAAATATGTGATGATTATGAGCCAGATATATTAGTTCAACTCATTTTGATTGTAGTCTAGTTTGTTCCTGATCAAACAAGGCAGGAACAAAATGTAAATACTGTGCCACTGAAAAACGAGAACATACAGACATACAGGGGCAGATTTTCGCCTTTAAAGGCACTCGCATGTAACATGACACCCATATGTTTCATATCAAAATGCTTCGTTATCTACTTTCCAAAACTGATGCAGCAACTTCAGCGGCTGTAAAAGCCATTTCACACTTGTCTCCAATGAGGACTGAATGAAGAATAAAGGGTCTGTGACATGATGCGTCAGTCGTTAGTGATTTCCTGCGTGTCTGTTGGTCAGTTTCACACAAAATGTAGACAGACACACAAATCCAGCAATTACACACGGTGAGAGAAAGACACTGTGTTTCTCAAACCCTCTTCTCAGCCTCACAACTCCAGATTGAGTCACATACAGTCTCACAATAAGTTGGAATGGTAAGGGCGACTCTACAGATTCAGGAAATGCTTGAACCGTATGTCTGCACTGCATTAGCGCAAAGATAGAGAAGCATATACAGAAGCATCAAATTTGATTTGCGGGTGAGTTTGTGCACCCCAGAGTGTTAAAATTAATAATATCAGGATCACAGTGTCACATGGCTGAACTGATGCCTAATGTTGCATGTACTGATTTTGCTAAGTGATAATGTTACTAATCAAGCATTATGACCCGGTCTAGGGTCAGGCTGTAACAGAAAAAGAGAGTGGGCTCTCTCCCCAGACCTGCTGACAGGCCAAACACTGGACACAATGAAAACCAGAAAATGGCAGGTTTATTTGCTTCAAAAGCTGGGTTGATGGCTTCAGGGACGAGCATATGCCGAAATAACAAACAAAACAACTAATGATTACAAACCTAACTAACTAAACCTGAAAACAAAACAAAAATACAAAGGACTACCCTATCTCCCTGCTCATCTCCTACTTTTTAAATGTTCACAAAGTCTAATCAAGCAGTCACAGCAAAACAGACTGACGCTGGTCTGGAGATGTTCTTCCGGGTCACATCAGAGGGAAGAGAGCCCTGAACATCTTCCAAGATGGTGGCTTGGTGACCTCTTATACGTCAGTGTTCCCCCCGTGTGGCCAATCACAGACCTGCACATCATAGGAAAACGAGGGAAAACACTGTAAATGGCCACAGAAAGACTCAGAAACACTAGTCTAATGCGTTTGTGAAGTTAGTTAGATACCAAACTTGATAAACCCACCAAATTTATTCAAATTGATGTTTAAAAAAATTGTATTCTGTTAAAACCATAGTCAGTTATAATATAAAATATAAAAACCTATCCTGAACCTGAGATTATGTTGACCACTGTGTTAAATCTGCCATTCGATGTGATGTTTACTTTGTAAAATCATTAACATCACCAAAACAACCGAGATCTATGACAAGCTGTAGTCTGAGGGTTTTACCATCTTAAAACACAAGGCGCAAATGATCCCCAATTAAAACAATACAGAACTGTTTATGATGAAACAATAAATAAACATAGTTTATGTATCTCTCCTTCTGCTCATTTTCTCACCTGAAATGTCTTTAATAGTGTTCTATTTCTAAAAACATCGCTATCAATCCACATCACTGCTGAAGAAGACAGAAGTCAGTCTAATGTTAACATGGCATTTTGGCTATGGGAGCTAATCAGTGGGCTAGCTGATGTTGGCACCACAGATCCTGAAGTAAAAATACCATTATTTTGGAAAAATGTAATACTTTTCTATTAGTTTTCAATCTTTTACATGAAAATCATGTAATGCACCTACTTCTTCACAAAATAAGCAGTCTAATTCTACAGTCAAATATTCAGGAAAGGTGAGGAAAAGATGGAAATGAAGTGCTCCCAAGCTTATTTTGGTAGAATAGCAACGTGTGACTAGAATCTGACCCAAGCATCTAATGTTCTTTGCAACAAAAACACATTGCAGTATCATTCATAAAAGTGCACAGAAAGTTAAGTTACAGTTTCATGAGAGGAAAGTGAGAATTGCTGACTTTTGTTTGTGGTCAACAACAGTGTTGCGTGGCCTACAAAATGGTTTCCGCTCTGCTTGTATGTTGAACAGGAATTGGTAGCTGAAATATTTATTGGCATGTAAATGTACACTAAGTACTTTAAAACATGTTTCAAATATTCCTCTGACCCTCCAAGTTAAAAGTTAAGTGCAATGGAAATGACACCCCATCAGTGATTGTACCAGTTTAACTGATTTTAGACACAGCTGTAAAGGGATAAACCTCTTCACTTCAAATTAGCCAGTGAAAGAAACTTGATTGACCAATTAGAGAGTTTGCAATGAAACTGTTGAAATATGTGATGATTATGAGCCAGATATATAAGTTCAACTCATTTTGATTGTAGTCTAGTTTGTTCCTGATCAAACGAGGCAGGAACAAAATGTAAATACTGTGCCACTGAAAAACAAGAACATACAGACATACAGGGGCAGATTTTCACCTTTAAAGGCACTCGCATGTAACATGACACCCATACGTTTCATATGAAAATGCTTCGTTATCTACTTTCCAAAACTGATGCAGCAACTTCAGCGGCTGTAAAAGCCATTTCACACTTGTCTCCAATGAGGACTGAATGAAGAATAAAGGGTTTGTGACATGATGTGTCAGTCGTTAGTGATTTCCTGCGTGTCTGTTGGTCAGTTTCACACAAAATGTAGACAGACACACAAATCCAGCAATTACACACGGTGAGAGAAAGACACTGTGTTTTTCAAACCCTCTTCTCAGCCTCACAACTCCAGATTGAGTCACATACAGTCTCACAATAAGTTGGAATGGTAAGGGAGACTCTACAGATTCAGGAAATGCTTGAACCGTATGTCTGCACTGCATTAGCACAAAGATAGAGAAGCATATACAGAAGCATCAAATTTGATTTGCGGGTGAGTTTGTGGACCCCAGAGTGTTAAAATTAATAATATCAGGATCACAGTGTCACATGGCTGAACTGATGCCTAATGTTGCATGTACTGATTTTGCTAAGTGATAATGTTACTAATCAAGCATTATGACCCGGTCTAGGGTCAGGCTGTAACGGAAAAAGAGAGTGGGCTCTCTCCCCAGACCTGCTGACAGGCCAAACACTGGACACAATGGAAACCAGAAAATGGCAGGTTTATTTGCTTCAAAAGCTGGGTTGATGGCTTCAGGGACGAGCATATGCCGAAATAACAAACAAAACAACTAATGATTACAAACCTAACTAACTAAACCTGAAAACAAAACAAAAATACAAAGGACTACCCTATCTCCCTGCTCATCTCCTACTTTTTAAATGTTCACAAAGTCTAATCAAGCAGTCACAGCAAAACAGACTGACGCTGGTCTGGAGATGTTCTTCCGGATCACATCAGAGGGAAGAGAGCCCTGAACATCTTCCAAGATGGTGGCTTGGTGACCTCTTATACGTCAGTGTGCCCCCGTGTGGCCAATCACAGACCTGCACATCATAGGAAAACGAGGGAAAACACTGTAAATGGCCACAGAAAGACTCAGAAACACTAGTCCAATGCGTTTGTGAAGTTAGTTAGATACCAAACTTGATAAACCCACCAAATTTATTCAAATTGATGTTTAAAAAAATTGTATTCTGTTAAAACCATAGTCAGTTATAATATAAAATATAAAAACGTATCCTGAACCTGAGATTATGTTGACCACTGTGTTAAATCTGCCATTCGATGTGATGTTTACTTTGTAAAATCATTAACATCACCAAAACAACCGAGATCTATGACAAGCTGTAGTCTGAGGGTTTTACCATCTTAAAACACAAGGCGCAAATGATCCCCAATTAAAACAATACAGAACTGTTTATGATGAAACAATAAATAAACATAGTTTATGTATCTCTCCTTCTGCTCATTTTCTCACCTGAAATGTCTTTAATAGTGTTCTATTTCTAAAAACATCGCTATCAATCCACATCACTGCTGAAGAAGACAGAAGTCAGTCTAATGTTAACATGGCATTTTGGCTATGGGAGCTAATCAGTGGGCTAGCTGATGTTGGCACCACAGATCCTGAAGTAAAAATACCATTATTTTGGAAAAAATGTAATACTTTTCTATTAGTTTTCAATCTTTTACATGAAAATCATGTAATGCACCCACTTCTTCACAAAATAAGCAGTCTAATTCTACAGTCAAATATTCAGGAAAGGTGAGGAAAAGATGGAAATGAAGTGCTCCCAAGCTTATTTTGGTAGAATAGCAACGTGTGACTAGAATCTGACCCAAGCATCTAATGTTCTTTGCAACAAAAACACATTGCAGTATCATTCATAAAAGTGCACAGAAAGTTAAATTACAGTTTCATGAGAGGAAAGTGAGAATTGCTGACTTTTGTTTGTGGTCAACAACAGTGTTGCGCGGCCTACAAAATGGTTTCCGCTCTGCTTGTATGTTGAACAGGAATTGGTTTGCCTTGCTTGCAGCTGAAATATTTATTGGCAAAGGTGTTTATCTCTGCATTATCCATGGTTTCACAGTATGAAGCACACAAGATGCATGTTCAAAATAATTGTGAAAGCACTTATGATTCACAGATACAATTAACACTTTTAATATAGAAACAATGCAAGGATTGGACAAAATTGCAAAATTGCAAATACTGCAAGG